GGCGTACTCAAGCTTGAACAATTCTGAGCGTTACTCTTTTGGCAAAATTGTAACGAAAAAGTTTATCACGTTTGGAAATGAACATTCGAGAGAGGTCGACAAACCTGACACTTGACTCTGCGAAAAGAGGAAGAAGAGAAAACACACCGTACTTGGATGACGAGAATAAAATACCCACGAGTTATCTCTCCTGATATCTGATGTGTGTGGGTGTACAATTCTTGTACGTTAGCACGAATTTATTTGGATTGATTCTAAATCCTTCTTTTGAGATATCAAGATAGGGTGATTCTGTCAGAAATGAAGAAACGGGATTTTATCCAAATTCGAGTGCGGTTGTCTATTCAGTGCCAGTAGGTATGAGTTTATCTCACTCAAATGTTTGATGTCTGTTTTCTTGCTGATGCATTCAGTCTCTGATTCAGTTATTGGTCATTTTGATATTGATATAAGGAATAAAGCGAGGAATTCGCGATAGTTTGGAATCAAATCTCTGATGTGTGATTATGGAATTCAAAAAAAAGGAGCGTGGTCTCGATACTCGAGATACATATTCTAGTGGATGGTCGATAAATTGTTATGGATTTGCCAGAATTGAAGATAATCCATCTATATATTATTATATCTATATATCGATCGACTTATATTCAGGTAAACATCTGAGAACCAGATTTTTTCAAACTGCAATCATTATTTAGCGCTCATGAACTTCTCTAGAAGCCAAGAGATTTTGTTGATGGCGTTGAAAAGAACGAAAAATCATGGCATATTTAACTGCAATAATGTCTCAAGTAAGGCTCCAAACTGAGAATACGTTTACTGTTTCAAATGACATTTGAGATTGTGATGATAATATGATACAAGAGTATTAGAGAACTTCCACAAAACCACTCGATACTTTTGAACGATGAGATCTAGAATATGTGCAAATTGTTTCGCAGCAGTAGGCCGTTCTGAAAACAGTTCTTTACTTTTCCTAATCATCAGATGATCATAAACAAAATTAATCATACATGTGAAAATATAGTCATCCAGGTGCTCGAAAGGACAGCAACATGAATGAATAAAAACAATGATCTAGTGATGATTTTGTTGGTCAATTATTGAAGTCGACGTTGGAATTCGGATATTACGGTCATTATTGTTCTGTGACGTTCGATCCCTCTTGGACGTTTCCACTGCCCATTCGTCAGAATATAAATAGATTCAGTTTATCAAATTGCTTGAATCTGTTTTTGGACGGTGGTGATGAACTGACTTGTTCAAAGTGCAGAAAGAATCAGTAATGTTTGAAATCAAGTTCAATCAACAAGTTTTCCAGGATTCTTGTTTTTTATTTGAATTGTTTCTCGTAGGCTCGAGGTTTTTATCAAGGAACCAAATGTTATCGTCGACTTCCCTTTGATTGGTTCGGACATAGGCTACTACTCGTCTGATGCCATGATATATCATCAGTTGAATTCGACCTCCATGCAATTTCAACCATGATGATACCATCTACATTCGATACTATACCTTTTCAACTTCAATTTCGGAATCGGTGAGTTATATTTCGGAAAAAGTAATCTTGATTTCAGAATTGGTTAGTTCGATTTCAGAAATGGTAAACTCAATTTCAGAATCGGTGAGATGAATTTCAAAAAAAATGCATTCAATTTCAGAAATGGTAAGTTGTATTTCAGAATTATTATTGGTAGGTTCAATTTCAGAAGATGAAATCCTTTTATATGTTTGAAATGTTTTTAATTGCAGAAGAGAAGATTTTTTACAGTGGATGAACGGTGTTTGAGAGCCCTATGTTGAATCAGATTGAACATAATATGGGGTGCCTTCAAGTCAGAAGTGAAGAGCTTCTTGCAAGAGCATCGCCAAAGGGTCATAGCTGGGGATCCGAACAGCTTGCTCAACCAGATAGAATTCAGACTGCGATGTCTTGAGGAATGTGCAGATCATTCAATCAAAATGATAACACCTCAAATGTTTTTGCATTCTCATAATCATGTGCAACGCTATTATCTTCCAGCGATTCGGATGGAAGGCATCTGTGGAATGAATTGAGATTATAATTATGTTATCGAATTGTTTTTGACAAGTTGAATATTGTAAATATGGTTTGTTAATCTCACAAATATAAGGATTTTTTTTCTGAAATTGAACCTACCAATTCTGAAATACAACTTACCATTTCTGAAATTGAATGGACTTTTTCTGAAATTCATCTCACCGATTCTGAAATTGAGTTTACCATTTCTGAAATCGAACTAACCAATTCTGAAATCGAGATTACTGCTTCCGAAATTGGAGTTGAAAAGGTATACACGACCTATTTGAAACAAAAACATATTCAACTGTTTGGTTCGAATATAACGATCCTGATATATTTTCAGTATTCTCAAAATTTCTTGTAGTATGGATTCGAACGTTCTTTTTTATCAACAAGAGGCATATATTGCTCTTTGTTGATATTCTGTGAATATTCATCGAATTTTCCATCCAATGAAGTGAGAGGTGATTCTATCAATGTTGAAAAGAATCATCCATCGGACGATAGTAACGTTGATGATAGTGAATTTGAATTGGGATAATAATCTCGAAGTGATGATATTGGTGAAGAATTCATAAATCACACCGGGAGAAATGAAAATCGAAAGAAAGTAGAGGAGTTTGAGAATGCATCTGCAGACATTTTGGAAATCTCTCGAGATGATGAGCATCTTGGTGAACTTCAGGATATACCAGGAAGAATCATCATTGAATGGAAGCGGAAACAACTAAAGAAATTTGGACAAGAATTCATCAGTGGCAGTGAGAAAGTTGGTTTTTCGAAGAAAATGGAATCCAATCCATGCAAAAATAAAAAGGAATACAACCCTCCTACTGAGGCTGAACGTGAAGAACTTTATGATTTCTACTGAAGCCTGTCGGCAGGAACAGAACAAGAAACTCATATGATTGAATGCCAATTAGTACGTCATGTTGAAGACTGCTGAACTGCAGAACAACTGAGAAGTATTCAGAAGAGTGACTCGAACCTTACAACCTTGTTCCAGATGATATCAGAGAATTATTTGATCTAACAAACCTCGGCATGAGCAATATGAATAAGAGTTATTTGAACAACATGAGTAGAGCCAGAGGGATTTGTGTATCACCTTAATTGGCCTAACTGTTCATGAAACGGTTTGAAGCGAACGCTAAATGAAAATTCGAGTATTATCCTAGAGTTCGAATTACAGGTATATGTGGACGATATATTTGCTATGTCTGATCATATACGTATAAATAAACAATACGGATCATAAAGGGTGCCAGGATAAAGCCAAAAATATGAAACAAATTAATATCCATAAGGATTTGGTGGCATGATACGCATGCGCCATGCGCTATTATAGTAGTCATCAAAGACATGCGTTTCGGTGGACAATGACGTTTACTAGCCTTTCAATCAATGCAGTATGTTCCTGATCGTTTCAAAACTCTTCCTTATGGATAGTCATTTGTCTTTAAAAATCGGCTTCATGTTTCGCTATGGAAACAGATAGAGATTATTTGTATTGATTAATAATACGTATATGTGTCTGATACGAAATCTACAGAAATAAATATCTTCATAACCAAATTGAGCAATTGCTTCTTTCTAAGAAATTCACTTATGAATACAAAATTAACAGTCAATTACTATTCTTGCTTTTGTGATCAAGGATGGCAAAAATTATTTTATCTTCCAAAGAAAAGAACTAACACACTCAGATACAAAACTAATGTCTTCAATCACTGTTTTGAGACAAGATGGCAAGTTCACATTCTTCAAATTAGATCAATTCCCTTTGAACATAGGAGGATACGATGTTGCAAGCAGTGTTGTTCATAAAGTGGCTGGCGTCAATGGTGATGATATCAATATAGTCCATGAATCAATTCCTAGATATGAATTGAAGTGAAACATAAGATATTCCACGCTTTCAGTAGACAGAAACAATTCGAGAAGAATCCAAATCTTGTTCAATCTCAAGTATATGGATTAAATAACCAAATCAAATACTCCAGTTCTTGAAGCGTTCATCTGTCTGGGTCGAAATTAAGAAATTCATTAGGCAATCTGAAATCTAAAATGTATAGGTACATATGATTAGTCAGATATATTCAAAATGAGTTGTTATGATAGTGATGCAACATGTAATATAGACCTATGAAACAGAGTTTGAAGAACACCTTGCACCTTTGATAGGTTAGATACATCGAGTATATATAGCCGAACAAATATTCAATCAAGCAAGTTTATTATATCAAATCAGATATTTAAAAGAGCCTAAAAATATTGGGGATCAGTTATAGAGTCTCGAAAAAAAATATTATACCTATTCCCTATAGCCCTCTGTATGATGTAGTGATATGGATTGAGGTAACATGTGTTAGCAATTTATATATTAAGCGCCTTGTCTTATCATGGGATTGTCATGGGAGACGAGGATTATTGACTTTGATTTTGGCCTGACGCGAATGTCATCAATTTGTTATAAAGTTAAATATTCCACTATTTATGGATATTTATCGATGAAAACCCTCGATTAACCCGTATTTTAACACATGTGAACTCAGCCATAATAGACATAAACTCCGCACTTCGTATATTTCACGATCAAAATAGTACCTGGTATTGTATGACAGCACAATAGGAAACAATATTTGGTTTTGATCTTGTTTTTGGGATCCTGACATAGTTATCGAAACACATATTTTGGTAAGTGATGAAACAGTGAAGTGGATTCTTCAGTCGAAGGTTCTAGTCTTCCAGTTCCGATATCAACAGATACTCAATCAAACGATTGAAGAGGAATATTTTTGTCAGTTATTTTTTTTTTGTTTGAAACGAAATAACCGCGAACGGTTCACCAGACTTACGTGACTGCAGTCGCCAATTCAAGAAAATATATTTTTTCACGATTTCTTCTCATAAGGACCTCTCTATTTTGATCGATAATGAGTAAATTCTATTTCAGTTCACGAGTGATGTAGTTTTCATCCGATCTTCCGTTCGTCAGGCAGAGCTCTCATCCCGACATGCACCAGTCTATTTGTATCAGTTTTCAGCTGGACCCAACAAATCTCCAAAATTTCCAGGTGATATGTTCAACTCCAATTATCGAAAGCAAGCATCGTTTCTGAAAGAATAACATGATTCAAAATCTATAATGATTCTTGATTGAATGATCGAATATTACAGATATAAATAATTTATCATGAATGCGTAGGTTGATGAATTATTCTCTTGATTCATGTACACTGAATGAAAAGAGACAGTAAAAAATACAATACGTTCACTGAAATAGGAGACAGTCACTAGATTTATCTGATGATAACACTATCAAATTGTTGAATTCATTTGAAATAATAGCACTACTCAATAGTATGATACTCGAAGTATAGTATGATGAAATTTTGTTGTGGTACCATTTGATGAATGTAGTAACTGGCACATGTTCTACTAGAAGTTTTGATTTCACTATCGACTATTTCTCTGAGTGTATAGTTAAATGAGATGAGATTTCTCGAATATGAGGAGAAGCACTTATCACCTTGTCGTAACAAAATTTGCAACGGTTTTTGAAATATCACATTTCTTTCAGGAAGTTTTGGGTTCGCACTAGTAGTATACACTGTGTCCAAGATAAGGATGTCTATCATGGGGATCTCAGAAACCATAAGAGATTCGAAGATGGTTGAATCAGAAAAAAGTTGCGCATTTTTGAGCCTAACAATATGACGTTTGAATTTCGAAATGCCGAGTATTGCCGGAGATATGGCTGAAAAACCGAAATATGCCGATTTCTTTTTTATTTTTTTCTGACGTTATTTGAAGCTGAATAGAAAAACAAAAGACACTCTATCATTGCCACTTCTTGAGCTCTACAAAACAGCGTTGAGAAATTCTCCGTAAAACGTTTCGTTTCGGAGAAACCATCATCAACTGTATTATTTTATATGGCCCGTAAAAAAAGTATACTCTGTATAAGATAGAATATTTCATTACGAATACAGCAATGTATTACATGTATAAAATTTCATATTTCATTACGAATACAGCGATGTATTACACATAATGATTTTGCAATGTTTGAACAAGAAAAAATGGTTTTTATTATTATTTCGAACGTTTAGGTGTAGAAGGCGGTAAACTGACGGCGCTGAGAAAATGTCAAAATAATTTTATTGACATATTATTGACACATAGTGTTTTTGAACTTTGTTCTTGCTAGATATTTCTTCTTGTTACAAAATGGAACGTGTCTTTTCACCTGAGGAAAGGTTCGATATGTTGGAATGTTATATCTTATGCCATAGCAACGCTGTTGAAGCTGAACGTATGTATTTAAATAACTATCCAGAGAAAAGACAACCCAGTTCAAAAATTTTTGGTCGATTGATATCGAATCTGAAGCAGTATGGTGCATTCATGAAACCAGTATTGTCAAGAAATGAGCCATGTGATGAAATAATAGAAAATAATGTAATATTAGCTGTAACTGGAAACCCAGAAATATCTGTTAGAGAAATTGACAATACCATTGGTATAGCGAAATCTATTGCCCATTTTATTTTGAGAAAACACAAATTCCACCCGTTCAAATTCAGAATCTGTCAAGGTCTCAGACCTGGTGACGAGGAAAGGCGAAGAACATTTTGTGAATGGTACACCAGGGAGAATTTTCAACCGAATAAATACCCATTATGGGTCAAGGGATGATCCTTGAGTTCACCGAATGGCTACACATCATCACCGTTCTGGTTTTAATATAAGGGTTAGAATTTTCGGAACAGATTTAATAGGCCCCTTTTTTACAACAATTCCCTTACCTCAGAGCATTACCGTAACTTATTGGAACGCGATTTGGAAGGAGCTTTGGACAACTTACCGCTTGCAATAGTTAGAAACTGTTGGTTTCAGCAGGATGGTGTGCCCGCGCACAATGCCCTAATCGTGCGCGAGTATTTATCGAACAGATTTCTGGGAAAATGGATAGGTACACATTTAACAGTTAGGAGACTAGTTCTTGAGGCGTTCGAGAGCATCACACCTGATATGTTGATAAGTGTTTTGAATTCGTCAGTTAGAAGATGATTTGTTAAATTTTTTAACATATGACGTGACCTACCTACGTATATTATGAATCGAGTTTTTGAGATTTCAATAACGTGATTTGAATCCTAAGTTTCGGAACACGTATAATAATAATAGCCTACTACACCATATACTGCGCGGTCATTTCACCGCCTACTAAACCAAAACGTTCGAAATAATATTAAAAACATTTTTTCCATTGTAAAATTGCAGAATCATTATGAGTCGTACATCATTGTATTCGTAATACAATATACTATTCAATACAGGGTGTACTTTTTTTGCAGGCCATGTAAAAAAAATAAAGTTGATGATCGTTTCTTCGAAACGAAACGACGTACGTAAAATCACTCAACGTTGTTTTGTAGAGCTCAAAAAGTGACAGAAGTTTCTTTTTGTTTTTCAATCTATCTTTGGATAACGTCATGAAAAAATAAAAACGAAAACGGCAAATTTCGGCTTTTCAGGCATATCTGCGGAAATACCCAGCATTTCGAAATTTTTCAAACGGCAAATTGTTAAGCTGAAGAATGTGCAACTTCTCTATAATTCATTAATCTTCGTAACTCTTATTTTTTTTATCGCTTGGAGTGCACGAAAGGGAATCCCTATAATGTTCAAAGAACATCGTGCGTTCCTAAGGAGAATAGGGACAAGAGGTAGGTATTGGAATATTTTTTGAACTTTTGGAGATTATATGTTGTTGGGAATACTTCCACAGGCAATGAATTCCAGAGCCTAGCCGTTCTATGGATGAAGGAGTCTTGATAAAGTGCTGTTTGACATCTTTCGAGGTTGACAACGAAAGGATGTGCTGACTGGGCTTGTGTGAGCTTGAGTGAGTGTGGCGTCACCCACCAGGGGAATGGCTCTTTTTTTAATGGAATCTAAGAGCATCAACGTATGTTTTGGTGCTGAACCCCATATGTGGAAACAGTATTCTAGAACAGGCCGTATCTGCGCTTTGTAGATCATAAGAAGCTGTTGAGGTGTGAAGTAGCTTTTCGCACGGAACAAGAATCCGAGTTTCTGTGAAGCAGCTTTTGCGATGGATCTGACATGATTATTCCATGCAAGAGTGTTGCTGATGGAAATACCGAGCATAGATATGGTGGGCTTGGTGGGGATGGTGGAGCCAGACATTACAATATCGGGCATACTGAGTTCCGCCTTTCTAGAGAAAATGCAGTCTTGAGTTTTGGTGGCGTTGAATTCAACTAGGTTCTTTGTTATGGTTTCCGAGATCCCCATGATAGACATTCTTATCTTGGACACATTGTATAATCGAACTTATTCCAGACTCGAACAATTGCTTTACCCCTATATTGAATGCACTTTCGAACGCGAGAGAATATAAGTCAATTACAGTTTTCAAATAACATCGTATCGAAAAATGGCGAAAATAGTTCTTAATTCGATGTATTCAGGAAGGGATAGCCAGGAAAAAAAATACCTATAGTTGTGTTCTGGTAAATATTCCGTATGAGGTTATAAGTATGAATATTCAGTATTATTATTTCAGGGGCTCATCTTTCAGATCACACTAATACTTCTTGTAGAATTCTTTTTTTGATCACACGAGAGTGAAGTTCGTCATAGGGACGAAAGGAAGGTGAAAGTCATCTTCACACTCTTTTGATGATGTTATCATTCAAGGGGACATGTTCCGAACTCATGGAAGTCCAGCTCCAGCCGTCAATATGTTACCACAAGCAAAGACGAGGTGAAATCACATGCTAGGAGAAATTGAAATTTGACTCAAATGGAGGTGAAACCCCTCTTCAATTTCGGTGCCGATGCCCATCATCATAATACCCTTGTTGAAATCTGAGGATGAACGGGTTTTCCGTATACTGAGAGAACGCTTACCTTTTATTATCAAGTCAAGTCTCAGTAAGGAAGCTTGACAAGCTATTGCAGAGAAAAAACACACAAGAAATCATCATTTTGAGAGGAAGCGCCATTATTGAATCAGATATTAATAGAACCGATAGGGCGAAAGAAAAGAACACATGTTGAATACAACCCTAGCGAATGAAAAATACAAAAAAAAAATATTTGGAAGACATGCAATGACATGAGTCGGAGTCCTGAACGACATGCCATGAGTCGAGGTCTTGAATGCCATGATATGATGATTACGGAAAGAAATCTATGAAAAATGTGAACGATGTTAAGAGACTCTGCCGAAGCAAGGAATCGAGGCAAAATTTTTTGAAGAATTGTCCAAGGAAATTGAACTTCCATAAGTAGATCTGTTGAGATATTCGTTATGGATTTCATCGATATGAGGAGGAAAACCATAATTGTGATCAATATGTTTGATAATGTTGTATTCATAATATATAACATACAAGTATTTCCGACCAAAATTGCACCAGTATCGTCAAATGTTCACTGTATATTTATCAGCAATATCGATATCACATTTCGTGACCAATATAACTCCACGAATAAACCAGTAATATTGATATGAAGATTTTCTACCATTATTCTTGAGACAACATAGCTACATGATGATTTGCAATTATTTACCGATATTTTTTTCATATAAAATTGCACCAATATTGCCGAATGTTCACTATCAATTCCTCGCCAATATTGATATTACATTTTTTGACCAAAATAACTACTACGAATTTTCAAGCAATATTGATATGAGAATATTTCACAATTTTTCTCGAGACGACATTGTAACATGCTGATTTTCAATTTTCTACCCACACTTAGAAACTGATATCGTTCCAATATCGCCGAATGTTCAAATTTTTCTTCTCGTTAATATTACTTCCACAATATTTTGCCGATATTTTGGTAATATTGCACCGATATTGTCCCAATATATGTGTGCTACTTAGGTAGTCGTATGATGGCATACTATGTCATCAATGGCCAATGTTAGGTATGCCAACATGCGGAAACTGCATAATTTCTGAA